ATGTTTTGAACCATGCGTCTGGCAATTCAAAGTTCGCTTCTGCCAAAGGCTAACAACACTTACCAAACACCAAACACAAAGCAAGACCAGCAATGGCACAGCAATTTTCTTAGACAAGAACCCAGCACTCAACAAGGTTTCTTCAAAAAAAAACTTGAAAGAGGTTCAGTCCTCTTTTCCCTCTGTTCTCTTTGTTCTGTTCAATCCTTTGTTCCCTCTCTGTTTGCTGTTTTTTCATTCTTCTGTTCCCTCACAGAGACACACACACAAACACAGCACACACACAGACACACACACAACTCATACACAGACACAGACACAGACGCATCACACACACAACTCACACACAGACACAATTCACACACAGACACAAACACACACACAGACACAAACACACACACACACACTATCTCTTCAAGTCTCTGTCCCCTCTACTCTCTTTATTCTCTCTACTCTCTCTCTCTCTGTTCTGTTCAATCCTCTCTTCCCTCTGTTCCCTCTGTTTGCTCTGTTCTGTTCAATCATCTGTTTTCTCGGTTCCCTCTGTTGTGAGCAACCCTTTGTCTCTTCGCTCCTCCTCTTCCCTGTTCAATTTTGCGTTCTCTCTTTTCTTTCTCTCTCTCTCTGCAGGATGCAAAGGTAGTTGCAGCCTAAAGCTCTGGAAGGTTGACCCTGCAGCCCTGCAAAGCTGCAACCCTTTCAGCCTAAAGAGCTGGAAGGTTGCTCTGCAAAGCTGCAACCCTCAAACCTCAAAGGTTGCAACCTGCAACCCTCAAAGGTTGCAACCTAAAGCTCTGCAAGGTTGACCCTACAGCCCTGCAAAATTGCAACCCTCCACCCCAAAGGTTGCAACCTGCAACCTGCAACCCTTCAAAGGTTCTCTGGAAGGTTGACCCTGCAGCACTGCAAAGCTACAACCCTCAAACCTTAAAGGTTGCAAGCTAAAGCTCTGAAAAGAAAGAAAAAAAGAAGCAGGGAAAGAAAAAAAAACAAGAAAGAAAGAAGCCAGTGCAAGGTGAAAGAAAGATGGAGAAGAGCAAGGAAAAAAGGGAAGGGAAAAAGAAAGAGCAAGGGAAAAAGAAAACAAGAGAAAGAAAGAAGAAAAGAGAAAGGAAAAGAAGTGGCAAAGGGAAGAGGAAAAAGAGAAAAAGAGGAAGGAAGAAGGAAAGAGCAAGGAAAAGAGGAGCAGGACGCAACAGGGAAAGAGCAAGGGAACAAGAAGGAGGGGAAGGATTTTGTACAGCAAGAAAGGAAGAAGAGAGCAACGAAGAAGCAGCGTCAATGTGCAATGAAGGAGCAGCATCAAACGAGAGAATGAGCAATGAAGGAGCAGCACCAAATGAAAGAATGAGCGCTTAGTAATGCAAGTTTTTCAATCAAAGTGACACTTCTGCATACATGCTTTGTCAGATTCAAGTGACACTTTTTCACGTTAAAAAACACATAAATTTACAATCTTTCAACATCATTTTGCATTTTTTTCTGAATAACTACCGCGCTATGGGAAAAAAGCAAACCTGTTGGGTGGAGAAAGTACACACATAAGTAGGCATATAGGGCACCAGGAGCATGCATACAAGGCCAGTGGTGCGCAGCGCAAACCACCCTCAAGAGATCAGAATGTTTTTTTCTCTGTCATCAATTTGCATTCCGGGGCGCGCGCTCAAAAATACCCTTTCAAAGCAAATCTGAGCTTGTCGCATGGCCAAATAAGCAGGAAATATACACTTTAACTGGAAAAATCTCGACGATATGCTCCAACAACCGCGCGGCGCTGGGAGAAGTCCACGGAAGTGAGAGTTCCTGGTTGGGGCAACCTCTTGCCCAAGTACTACCCGATCATGCGGCAAATGACGCTCGAAGGCTTCCCTGACTTACCGCCTATGGGCAACCATGGCTACACGGTCAACCTACCAAAGTATGACGTCAAGATGAAGGTGGCCTTCAATCGAAGCGGGCTAGGAGGGAGCTTCGCGGCGACGAAGAAGGGAGGGGCCACCGTGTCCTACACGTTCTGCAGAAACGATAAACTCCACATCCAGGCAACGTGGGACATGACCATCTATGACAGTCTGGGTGGCTTCCCTCCCCGCAAGCCCAAGGAAGAGGACGGTGACAGCGATGCGTCCACGTTGACTTGGGGGCACTTCAGTCCGGATGGCGAGACCGCCTGTTCTTCAGAAGCATCGGCAACGCCGACAAGACCCTCCACGCCAGCGTCCACAGCTTTCGAGGACCTCTTCAAAAGCATCAACGACAACCAGATTCCGCCTGCCGAAGACAAGAAGGGCAAGAACATGCAGGTCAAGGGCAGGAAGGTCAAGAACAAGAAGACTGAGGACAAGAAGCCCATGAAATCCATCAGCAAGCTGAAGAAGCACAAGAAGAACAAGAAGAACAAGAAGAACAAAGATCCCCAGGCCCAGGGCTCGGACCGCCCTTCTGAGGAGTTGAGCTGCCGGGTGGAAACTGAGAGGGCGACTCAGGCCATCTTAGGGGCTTGGTGGCCAGGTCCACCGAGCAAAAGTATGCTAGGAGACTCAACATTGAACTTTAAATGTTGTGTTTGTTTTTGCATAGTTGTGCTCGACAACACTCTCTCATGGGGAGCAGCTCACTTGCCATTGCGGCGCCAGCTTCGATAAAACCGCGTTGCTGCCCGGTCTTGCACTTGTTTATTCGCCACCTTGGGGCAATCTTGAATGAAAGGCCCCGAGATACCCAAAAAACAAGGCCCCCAAACTAGTTTTGCCATTCTATGTGGCATAGGGCACAATCCTAGAACTTGATTTACCGGGAGCATCCCTGGGCCCACTCAAAGCTCCGCAATAAATAATCATCTCACTCCGGCAACAACCTTGCAACTCGGCAAGTCGACTTTCAGGATTGGCCAGCTGTCAGAACCGCAGCTGTGAGGCCTGCAGAAAAATATGATTGAGAAATCAATGCAATGCCCCAGCAACTGGTATCCGCAGAAACCTTAAAACAACCCCAAAACAATGCCCCCCCCCCCCCCGCAGCGCAAGTTTGATCACAAGAATTTACGACTTGTGTTTGCTCACCACCCATGGATTCGGTCAATGCCAAGACAGAGTTGGAGGACCTTCAGGAGCGCCACCGTGAACTGACTCTGCGGCTCGGTATTCTCAAAGATCTCCGAATGGCTCTGAAGGAAATTCATGACCTGCTGCGCCGTTCTGTGGAGGCAGCTGACAAGGCAGAGACGAAAATCCGGGATTTTCACGTGGTCTTTGGACACCGGGCGGATGCGCTCTTGGCGCCGCAGGACGACGAGCCCGACTTCCTGAACAAACTTCACACAGCGTCCAATATCATCAATAACCTGTCATTCCAAATCTCTTGCGATGCAGATGAGGACGTGGAGCGCGAACAGGACAAGGTTGCGGAAGAATTGGACGGAGTTTGCCGCAGACAAGCTGAGCTCAATGAGCCAGCTGCGCCTGTGCAAAAACGCTGAGCCCAACGAAGCAGCTGCGCCCGCGCAGATGCTTTTAGGAAGACTGTTTTCATGTTTTACAGTGCTTGGCTAGCCCGGCGCGGAAAAAAGGCGTGCCACCACTTTTGCTTTTTGGCAGGCGCCCGTTGACATCAATAATAACAGCGTGTGTATGTTGAAAAAAACTGAAACAATAGGCGTACTCAACAACAGGGCATGGTTGGCAGAGATTCCTGCTTGTTCGTGGAAGGCCATGAGGTCGTCATTAAGTTCTCCTGTGCTTGGTACCCTTGATGCGGCTCGAGCGCAGACTGCAAGTACGCCTGCAGCAACTGGCATGACTATGGCTTCCTTGCGGGCGCGTCAGAAACGCGCCAGAGTGCTCCAGCAAACCATTGACAAAACCGGATTACAACTTGCTGATCTTGATGTCATTGCTGTTCCTGCATGGGATGTCATTGTCAATGCTGGCAAGAGGGCGTGGGAAGGTGTGTTCTACCGCTTCCGCGTGGCCTTGAAAGCCTTTGAACAGCGCCGGCAGCTACGGTTACGATTGAAGTTGCTTTCCTTCTCTATTCCACGTCCATTGAGCTGGCATCGGCGCAGAACAGCAACAAGATCACAACAGGATACCCTCCGATACCTTGAGGATGATGCTGTAAGTCCTCGGTCGTTCGCGCTTCCACCTCGGGAACTTTCTTCTTCGGTCTTAGCAGCCCATGAGTCCGGCTGTTGGAGCCAGTTTGCCTGTGCAAGCACAGGCAACTTATACAATTAAATAGTTTGTGACACAGTCTTAGTCGTGGCGCTATGGACCCTTGGAAAAAAGGTGTGAGCGCTCGCGTCATTTAGGGTGACCCTGGAACAGGCACTTGCTTCACACGGCTGGTGGCGCAAAACATTGGAATTGCCAACAAAATCGTGTACTCAAAAAAGGGCGGGCTAACAGAAATTCCACACTCAAAATCATGACAAAGTTGGCTTGTTTTTTCGGCCTCCTTTTGGGCCAACAAAAAAGACCAAAAAGACCGAGCCTTAGTAAGCAGATAACCTGAACCTCTTCGTACTACCTTGAAAAAGACTGAAGCCGGTAAGGTGCAACTGATAGGCTTAGTCCCCAACTGATAGGCTGTTCAAGAAGGATTGGTGGAAAATAGATCCTCTGATTTCTAAGGAGTGCAACTTTTTAGAACAGACTGTTTGGGGTTTACGCCGGTGAAATTTTGTGATCCAACCCATGCCCAGTCCCTTCCATGCCAAGTTGCTTTGTCATGCTATTGCATTGCTTCATGCAACTTGTGGTTTGCATGCTTCTCTCTTCTGTGTCGCGTTCTTGCGGCTTGACGAGATTGTCCTCACGCGGTTTGTCATTGACTGAGGTTGATGGCCTTCAAAAACCCCAAAGCTGTGGCATGACGGCTAGCTTCGGGTCGCCTCCCTCACTTTGGGCGTTGCTATGCGTCATTTGTGGTTGAAGTAGTACTGCCTGCATGGTGGTTGTTCCAGCAAAGCTGTTTATCATGTGCTCAAGGGTTAGCGGGAGATGTCCAAGCCTGGGCACGTGCTTCGGTGCTGTTGTTCACTCAAACCCTTTGAGAGCATGTTCATCACTTCAACAATCAGCCACACCATAGAAACAGTAGTTTGTACCAAGAGGCAATGTGTTGCAGTACTGCCATGTATTCAGGCAATGTGTGGGACATACCCTCAGAGAAAGTTCATCAGTTAGGCGTCCCCCATCATGAGGCGACCTGCCCAAAGACGGCAAGGCCTGTGCAAAGTGATGAAGACCTGCGCGCTGGTCTTGGCGATGCTTTTCATTGACAGTGCGCACGAGCATTTGACCTTTGTCGGCGGCGGATGCAATCCATTCCAGCCCCCCACGAGATTCGACGCAAGACTTCCGACTAGATTGAAAGCGCAAGTCCGCAATGCAAGTCCCCAAAAGCGTCGGATACTGCCACCGCTGGGCGACTCGGCAGATGTGCAGAAGCATGTTTTCATTTCCCTGACAGACTACGACAAGAAAATTGACAAGAAGCTGCGAGCACTGCCACCCATTGGAAAGGTGGCTGAGGAAGACAAGCATGTATTCATTTCTTTACAAAATTATTCTGAGAAAATTGAGAAACTGTTTGAAGGAGACCATGATTTTGTATTCATCCGCGGCGGAGTAGCCACCGGCAAGACAACACTGGCGGAGCATTTGGCACGTGAGTTTCCCGAGAAGTACGTCAATGTTCCTCCAACTGATGAATGCTCCGAACAGGCCTGGAAATCGAGGACAGTTGAAGCTATCGAGGAGCGCACGAAAACGACAGTTGAAAGAAACAGTTTAGAGTTCAGCAATGCCCTGAAGATAGCAAAAGCAAACGATCTGACCTTGATTTATGACGAAGCCCACACAGTGTTCGCATCCGCGACATTGTGCTTTAACCTCTTCAAGAGCAACAAACAGTATCGAACAAAGGTGTTGCTATTCTCAGCTTCAGGGGACGCTTCCTCTGCATCCGGCCGTGTTGTGTCCACACCCGCTGAAATCACCCAGAAGTACATGTGGATACCTCCCTTGGGCTACACGCAAGAGCTGGAGACTCAGCTTGAGGAAGCCGGTGTTAGGCTGGACCAGAAGAGCATCCAGTTCTTTATGCGATTTTGCGGTGGACATCGTGGCATCTTCATCGCAGCAATGCACTGGGTGCAGAGCAAGCAGAGCAAGCAGAGCAAGCAGAGCAAGCAGAGAAGTGGTACAGGCTGGGATTTCCGGCAGACAGTGGGGTTTGTGCGGAATAGCTACAATGGAGGAGATTGGGATTGCGCAAGCAATGAGATTTTGGGATACCTGCAGAAGAGCCGTGCAGTTAGGGTCAATGGCTTCTACGAAGATGTGAGCAACGTGCCGAGAGAGTTTGTAGAGCTTTTGTGCAAGGGCTCAACAACATTGCCACACCATCTCCGGAGAGAGCTTACCATCTACGGTTTCGTGCTTCCTATTTACAGTGGTACAGAGGGAGAGTTCCAACAGTTGGATTGGAGGAGTGAGGGCACAGAATACCGAGCGGCAAACCCTTTGCTTGCCTCGTATTACTTCCACAATTTGAAGAAGAGGCACAGTTTGCAAGTTCAATTTGAGCGCGGCAAACCCCAACACTGTGCAGACCTATTGATGCGCGCATTGCCCTACCTGCTCTTCTCCCAGGTTGTGAGCTTCGAAGGAAACACATCTGAGTTGGCGAAGGATGGTCTTCCGGGTGAGGAGCAGTGCAACCAGGCAATTTGCACGGTCTTGAAAGATATGGGATTTCAGCCCGTTTCCACAAAGCGATCTCGGAAGGGTGAAGGAAATCCAGACATTGCACTTGAAATTGGTGGGGAGCGTTTTGTTTTGGAGGGCGTGAAACTGAATGGAAACATCACCGAGCACCTTCAGCGCTTCGATAGCAAGACCAACTACAAGAACGCCAAACACAAGGCTCTTTACATCATCGGCAATGACAGTGAAAGGATGCTCGACAAGGTGAAGAAGACTACAGCTGATGATGTTCAAGTCATAGGCTTAGTCCCCAACATCGCCCACACCGCATACACCGTCCACGTCAAGAGCAAGGGCATCGAACGCATCAACACCTGCAACGTGGACTGCGACCTTGTGGCAAGAAGGTTGGTGCTCAAAGACAATGGCAAACCTGAGCTCCACAGTGTGCAGTCGCTGAAGAGCATCAACCTGCCTCCCAAAGCTGAGACCAGACCGCCTTTTTTTGTCGGTCTTCCGGTGTTTTGCCCGTTTTTTGAGGGGATATGCCAGTTTTTTCATTCAGTTCATGGGTTGTCAGTTGCAAGAGCCAAGGTCAGCCTGCGAAGACAGAGATGGTCTGGGTGCGAGAGTTGAAGGAGGAGAACGGCGAGTACAAGCTGGTGGGCAATGCCCTGCCAATCAAGCCTGTGCCGGCGAACATCGGCTTCCTGAAGAAGGTCATCAAGGAGGAGGCGCAGTTGCAACCGCCTGCTCACACTCTCACCGTCTACCACCTCACCGAAGGCACGTGGCAGGAGGAGAAGAAGATGAGCGCTGCATTGCGCCCTTCCACGGAAGAGACTCCTTACGGCTATCTTGTACCATAGCAATATGGTTTCTTGCACTTTGCACTTCAAGTTTCAAGTTTCACTCAGAACAGCGCGTTTCGATACACATTCGCAGGGGTGGTTGGCAGACGATGCTTTTGCTTGAGCATGAGCATGGCAAGAGCAGAACAATTGATGTTGTAAGACCAGTCCAACCCCACTCGGATTGAAGCAGTCAAGTTTCACCCAGCACAGCCAGCACAGAGTTCTGTGAACTCTTTTTCTGCAAGATGGATGAAGTGGACTCCGAATTTTGCACGTCAACAATACAGAGTTTGCAGACACAGATACGCTATGAAGAAGAGGTGGCAAAAAGAGAAATCAAGATGAACATAGATGAATGTTTTGCGTCAATACAGTGTGAATGTCAAGAGTTTTACTTGGAAACATATTGTTGAGTCCATCATGTTTTTTTGGAATTAGAAAATACAGTTCCGGAGCAATATTGGATTTGCGGTTGAAACAATTGAGCGGTTTGGAGTAGCGCCTCATCGAGCTGCAAACACCATCCAGTTTATGTCCGAACAAACCAGCTTATGTCCGAACCAATCAGCTTATGTCCGAGCCAGTCAGCTTACGTCCGAATCATGCTGTGTGTTGCGCAACGCATGATTTTGCTTGAATTTGGCATGGCAAGATTTTGCATGATTTTTGCTTTAAGTCGGCATGTGGTTCACCCCCGAAGTTTTTTACCTGTCAGGCTTGCCGAGTGTGTGAGGCCGGACCATCCTGGCGAGGAAGCACGGGTCCGGGTCTGGCGCTGGGGGCGGTTTTTTTTTGACTGTACGGTAGGACGTGCGGAGCGGGCACGGTGCCGGGCGGGCATGTAGGATCACTGGCTCGCCCAACCCGTTCCGGCTTGATACTGGCTCGCCCAACCCCGCGTTTGACACGCGCCCAACTGTGCCCGTTTTTGCTTGTTTTTGCACGATTTTGGGGTTGGTTGCACCCTTTTGCACCCTGATTGCACCCTGATTGCACCCTAATTGCACCCTGATTGCACCCTTCCGCTGGTTGGGTTTTGCTCGTTTTTGCATGTTTTTTGCTTGTTTTGGCTTGAGTCCACATTTTTTTTGCACGTTTTTGCTTGTTTTTGAGTGATTTTGAACGCTTTGAGGCCTCCAAACAGGGTACTAAATTAGCCGGCTTTGAGGGCCACCGATGGTCCAGGGGTGTCTCCCGAGCGGGGACGGTGCCGAGGCCGGGCAATCTTCGGCGGGTTGGGACGGCGCCGGCGTCGAACAATGTGAAGATTTTGCCAGTTTTTTTGGCACTGTCATTTGCCGTCAAAAACGAAGTTGAACGACAGTAAGTTTTTTTTTGAGATTTTGACACCCCACGGGTTGGGCTTGACACTGGTCCGCCCAACCCGCTGGGGGCTTGATACTGGTCCGCCAACCCGCGCTCGATACTGGCTCGCCCAACCCACGCTTGATACTGGCTCGCCCAACTGTGCCCGTTTTTTCGTGTTTTTGCACGATTTTTGGATTGCACCCTTTTGCACCCTTTGGCACCCTGATTGCACCCTAATTGCACCCTAATTGCACCCTGATTGCACCCTTCCGCTGGTTGGCTTTTTGCTCGTTTTTGACTGTTTTGGCTTGTTTTGACTTGAGTGCACGATTTTGCTTGTTTTTGAGTGATTTTGAACGCTTTTGAGGCCTCCGAAGAGGGTACCTGGGGTGGATTTTCTTTTTGCTGTTCCGCCCAACTGGTGTGGGGGGATATTGGTCGGCCCAACCGTTTTGCAGGTAGCATGGATGGCCCTCTGTTTGGAGGCTCGACTGGTCTGCCCAACGGGTCTGGGGGGTTTGGCTTAGTACTGGTTCGCCCAACGGGTCTGGGAGCGGTACGATTTGCTTGCATGCTTGTAGGAACCTATAGGAACTGGTAGGAATTGGTAGGAACCTTGTAGGAACCTTATGCATTTTCCTACGCATTCCTATGGGTTCCTACCATTTCCTATAGGTTCCTATAAGCATGCCAAAAAAACCGAACCGTGCCAGACCCGTTGGGCGAACCAGTACGAATTCAGACCGAAGAGATGCGGAGGACGCCGGCCTGGAGGCAGACTTCATTTTGATGCTGATCCATCCAAATGGGAGGGAGGCTGGTCGGGGGGGGGGTCATACTGGTTCACCCAACGGGTCTTAAGTACTGGTTCGCCCAACCGGTCTTGGGGGAGGGTTCGCTTTTTGTCTTGACTCGCCCAACGGGTCTGGGAGGGGGGCTTTTTTTTTTTAGTACTGGTTCGCCCAACGGGTCTTGGGGGAGGGTTCGTTTTTTTGTCTTGACTCGCCCAACGGGTCTGGGAGGGGGGCTGTGTGTTTTTTTTTGTACTGGTTCGCCCAACGGGTCTTGGGGGAGGGTTCGTTTTTTTTAAGTACTGGTTCGCCCAACGGGTCTCGGGGGTTTGTTTTAAGTACTGGTTCGCCCAACGGGTCTGGAGGGGTTTCGGATGTTCGCACTGGTTTGCTCCAACAGGTAGAGGAGGGGATTCGTTTTTTTTTTGGATCGCCCAACGGGTCTGGAGGGGTTTCGGATTTTTTTTTTAAAGTACTGGTCTGCTCCAACAGGTAGAGGAGGGGATTCGTTTTGTTTTAAAGTACTGGTCTGCCCAACGGGGTGGTGGAAGTTGGGCTGGGTACTGGTCTGCCCAACGGGGTGGAAGTTGGGCTGGGTACTGGTCTGCCCGGGGGGGTGACAACTGCTGAGACCCTAGCCAACATAAAGCCAGCCAGCCAGCAGAGCTGAGGGAGAGGGAGACACCCCCCCCCCCCGGACCATCGACGCCCCCCCCCCCACCCGAAACCGGGTAATTTAGTACCCTGTTTGGAGGCCTCAAAAGCGTTCAAAATCACACAAAAACAAGCAAAAACGTGCAACAAAATGTGGACTCAAGCCAAAACAAGCAAAAAACAGGCAAAAACGAGCAAAACCCAGCCAGCGGAAGGGTGCAATCAGGGTGCAATTAGGGTGCAATCAGGGTGCAATCAGGGTGCAAAAGGGTGCAACCGCAAAATCGTGCAAAAACAGGCAAACACGGGCAAAAGAGGAAGGGAGTGTGGACAATCGTGAACAAGCAATTCCCAATCAAGCAACAACAAATACAAAATCAGGCAAAAGAGGAGGTGCAAAAGGGGTGCAATCCCACGAGGCCCGTTTTGAGAGCAGAGTGAGTGGAGGGTGAGTGGAGGTGTCCGCCACGGGGGGGGATTCGATTTTTAAGTCCTGACTCACCCAACGGGTTTGGGGGGGGTTCGTTTTTTTTAGTACTGGTTCCACCCCAACGGGTCTGGGAGGGGGGCTGTTTTTTTTTTTAAGTACTGAATCGCCCAACGGGTCCGGGAGGCATTCTTTTTTTTTAGTACTGACTCGCCCAACGGGACTGGGAGGGGGCTGGGTTTTTTTTAAGTACTGGTTCGCCCAACGAGTCTCAGGGGTTTGTTTTAAGTACTGGTTTGCCCAACGGGTCTAAGGGGTTCGGCAGGCCGACGTTTTGAGAGCCTTTTGAGTTGTACCCCTCTTGTACCCGATTTTGGTTGTTTTTGCACGATTTTTGGGGTTGCACCCTTTTGCACCCTGATTGCACCCTAATTGCACCCTAATTGCACCCTAATTGCACCCTGATTGCACCCTTCCGCTGGTTGGCTTTTTGCTTGTTTTTATGCTTGATTATGGGTTCGGGTTTTTTAAGTACTGGCTCGCCCAGCGGGCCCGGGGGTTTTGGCTTAGTATTGGTCTGCCCAACGGGTTTGGGGGGCTGTCGGTTTTTAAGTACTGCCTCGCCCAACGGGTTTGGGGGGCTGTCGGTTTTTTAAGTACTGCCGGGTCTGGGGGGGCTGTCGGTTTTTTTAAGTACTGGCTCGCCCAATGGGTCTGGGGGAGGGGTTCGTTCTTTTTTGCATGCTTATAGGAACTTATAGGAACTGATAGGAATTGGTAGGAACCTTGTAGGAACCATGTAGGAACCTTATAGGGAGTCTCAGTTGTCTCAGTTGTTGTCTCAGTTGTCGCCCAGGTCTGGGGGGGTTGGGTTTTTTTAAGTACTGGTTCGCCCAACGGGTCTTGGGGGAGTTCGGGTTTTTTAAGTACTGGTTCGCCCAACAGGTCTGGGAGGGGGGGCTGGGTTTTTTTAAGTACTGGTTCGCCCAACGGGTTTGGGGGGGTTCGGTCCTTTTTTCAAGTCCTGGTCCGCCCAACCCGGTTTGATACTGGTTTGCCCAACCCGTTTGAGGTTTGATACTGGTCCGCCCAACCCGTTTGGGGTTTGATACTGGTCCGCCCAACCCGTTTGGGGTTTGATACTGGTTTTGCCCAACCCGTTTGGGGTTTGATGCTGGTTTGCCCAACCCGTTGGTTTCCCGAGGACCCCAAACCCAAAAAGGGCTTCATCAAGGTTGGTCAGATCCGACGCAGCCTGAAGAGTGCCTCCAAAGACAGCCCTTTTTGCGCCAAAAAGGAGCTTGATTCAGGGTCCGGGAATTCCCCCCCAGCCTGAAGAATGCTTAAAAACTGTTTTTTCCCGAAAAGGGCTCGACCAGGAGCAGTCAATGGAGCCTGATCAAACAGTTTTTTTGCACCAAAAAGGGCTTGTGCAAGGTTCTTTGACAGCACGGAGGCCTGCAGGATGCCTCAAAACCATTTTTTTCCCCCGAAACAAGGCTTGATCAGTCGAGGGTCCTGGGCCTCGGAGGCCCCAGGAAGTCGTCCAGCTGCCTCACAGCAGCCGGCCTGCCCCATGGTCTCCCGGCCCTCCGTGCTCCGGACGGTCATGGAGTCCACGGCCCGCACGTCGCCGTACTGGGGGTTGAAGCTTCGCCGCGTTCGTCGGTGCTCGGAAAGCCCCCGCGTCCTCCACGGCCTTGATGCGCCGGCTTGTACACTGGCTGGCTTTTGGCTGGCTTCTGGCTGGCTCCTGGCTGGCTCCTGGCTGGCTTCTGGCTGGCTTCTGGCTGGGTTTGGTTGGCTTCTGGCTGGCTTTTGGGCTGGCTGGCTTT